TATGATAGTGATTTCACCTGACTAGTACTCATTCACACTTTCACATGTGCTGCTGGTATGATTAGTCAATTAATGTTAGCTGGTCATTTTGTGTCAGGATCAAAAAAACTGAAATTAGTTTTTTTGTGAAAAGTTAATTTTTTGGCCAATGAAGCTTTTAACAATTTAAAATGCATCTGATCACTCTACACAATAATCTAGAAACAATGTGAATGAGCACCACAACAGCTTAAGCAGCAAACTTTGCAAAACACAAAATTTGTGACTGTACTATAAAAACATCCTGTAAAGCCTAGTTAACACTACACGACTTAAAACGTCGGCAGATCGCTGTGCTGTTCAGACTACATGACTTGCTGTCTGTCTTGAAGTCTTTGTGGTGTTCACACTACGCGACACTTATGTAAATGATGCGCAACAGGGGGTCATCACGAGCTGACAACTCTGTCACCCAACGACTCTATCTGGACCCCAAACCACGTTTTCTCATGAAAACACATGCGAGAATTTGAACGGGAATGATGCTAAACAACAAGTGAAACAGGAGTTGTTTATTTGAAAATGGACATCGGGAAGAAATTGGTGCTGCAAGCTGTTTGCATGATGATCTGTTCTGAAAAAATTTGCTCCATTTCTTGTCTCCAAACTTTTCTTAAAGCTATGTTGCTGCTGCTGTTTTTCTTCCGCTGACCTCAACCCATGCTTTGATCTCTCATTCGCTGTAGCTCGTCGCAACACCTGACACCACGTGATGTCGAGTCGGCCGACCGGTCCAGATATTTAGCATGCTAGATATTCGTTTGGTGTCAGCGAGACATTGGCGCGATGCATCAGCGAGCCTCTTTGATGCGTGGCGAGCTTGTTAACTTGCTAATCGGGTTTAAATCAGGCTTAAAATCCTGTAATATGAACTAGGCATGAGTTTCAGAACTCAAAACTTTCTCGTTAGTCTAAAAACAGCTTATATGGAAGCCAATCTGCCAAAAAGACAGGTTGTGGAATGTGCCACTTTATGACGTAATAGTGTGGCTAAACACCGCCTCCACAGAAGAAGATCAGTGCCTGCTTCTACATCACTGCCTGTTAGCCTGCCCATTGATTTGCGCATGTAGTGGGTTAATAATGAGAGAGGCATTAGTCTATGCAGAAACCAAAAGATAAAGATGGCTCTGAAGACAACAAGACGCTGTGCAGTGCCAAGCTGTGGAAAACTTTACATTTCTGCCAACTTTATTGGATCCGACAGTAATGTTGCACCACACACGAGTGTTAGTAACTGTTTTTATTACGTGGCCACTATTGCTTTGTCTGTTATGACAGTTTGTTTGATATGTACTGAGTATTCATGTGTTTTTAATCTAAATCACAGCAGCGTCCACCTGTGAAGGATATAAGCTGTTAAACATGTTAGCCAATCATAGCAGTGTTCGTTCGTTTCCGAGTCTACAAACCTCTGTAACGCTCGGACTTATCGGCCGAATTACATGCATTTAAAATGGGGTCAGATTAAACTGTGTGAGATAAAATAAGTGCTTTAAAAAGATGAGACAACAACAAAAGTAGAATGAATAAATAGTGTATTTACATAATGCACAAGGAACTTAAAACAACACAATAAAACTAGAATAACTTGTTAAGCTGTTAAAAGCAGATTGTCCATTTAAATTGTACCCTTATACAGTCCTTAAGAATCCCAGTGTGTTGAAGTCCCAAGGTACAAGTGTCCACCGGTGTATATACAATCCAAAGAAAGGGATAATCCAAAATGAGTGAGATACTGGAAAGGTAAATCCATGAACAACTCCACAATCCAGCGAGTAGTTGTTTGGTCAATGACCCTGATTGTTTGACATGCTGCTTGCTTTGTACTGGTTTACTTCCTTATTCCTGTCATGTGATTGACCACATGACAGGCAGACCCATGAACATTTTAAAGACATACACACATCAAATAATTAAGAGGATTAAAATGGCTAAGACAACATGTAAAACCATGAAAACTCAAATATATAGATAAAAAACCATCTTAATATATATTGAGCGGTAAAAACATGTGTCTTTGTGTGGCAGTGTCACATAGTCACGCCTATTCTGCTTGAATAGGCATTCCGATGAGGGGGTCAAAATAGGACGGAAAATAGCCTATTACCTCTAAATTATGATGTTTTTGGATGTAAAAATCTTGATATTATTATTATAAGTGGACCTCAGAGAATAGTACAAGATAAAAAAGGCAGTTCATGACCCCTTTAAGCAATAAAGCAAGCCCCGGATTAGCATTATTAGCAGAGGCTGCAGCCCAAAAAAGCCACTCCAGAGACAGTAGGGACATTAAGTGTGGGTGGTTATCAAGGGATGCAACTGCTCAGAAGACATTCCGTAAAAAAGAAAATCATCATTAGTTGTTCCTCCTTGGCTGTTTGCTTTCTCTTTACTGTCTTTCTCCCCTCTCACTTGCATCCATGTCCATTTCAGTTCTTTATTGATCAGGGTTGTAGGTTTGCAGCAGTACAGCAATAGGTCTGAATTAGTTGTGCCTGATTATCTCTCTCAGTAGAGTCATTCACGTTGCTCTCCAGTGACTGCATTGGGAAATATACCACAAAGCCCACAGATTACAGTAGGAAGGCATAGGCATTATGGAACAGTGCAATCACTAATTGGTAGTAATTAAACCGGGAGAAGATTGTGTTGAGCTTTAGGGACGGTTTTGGTTGGGTGAAGCAAATGCAAAAACATAGGAAAGAGGTTTTTCTCTCTTCTTCTCTCTCAGAGCCCTAAAGGAGATTAAAAGAAGATAGTGTTTTAATCTTAAGATTTTATAGAGCCCTTCAGGCTTCATCTAATGGCATTTTCAAATTAAATGCGTGTATTGAACTTTCCTGGAGAAAGATTAGTGAGCGTTGTGTTCAGAATGCACATGTTTTATTGGCATTAAATGGTTAATCATAAATGTGTCTCTTTCATTTTCTGCTCTGTGCCTTTCATTGAAGTCATCAGCAGGGGTTTTAGTGTCTTAAAGGGGTCATATGATGCTGCTAAAAAGAACATTATTTTGTGTATTTGGTGTAATGAAATGTGTTTATGCGGTTTAAAGTTAAACTGTATGATAATAACTTAAGGATTTGTCACCAATGTTCCCTCTAATTTTTTTTTCTTGCTGAGCAAACCTTTTCTCTATTGGGTGGACATTTCGGCCACCTGAGCAAAAACATTCTTTATATCAGACCTGTACAGCGCGCGCACAAAAAAGTGTGTAACTTTTAACTTTAATGTACTGTTTATATTTGATTTGGCCCTTGATGTAACTAAATGATGCACATTTTAGGTTACCTGAGAAAACTTTTTTTACAGTGCTGTTACCAAGAAATTCTATTAATTTTTTTTAATATAAAAATTCACGCAGAACAGTTCAATTCTTTATAATAATATAATATGAAAAAAATGAAGCAGATATTACTCATGAATTCCCTTTTTGAGGTCAATTATTTATTAGGTTTATAATATAATTATAATATTATATCATATGAAAAACAAACTGAAGCATTTAAACCGGTGTTTCCCAACCGGGGTGCCGTCTGTCGAGAGCAGGGGTGCCCTGTAAAAAAAAAAAACCATTTTTTAATATTTTTAAATTGCTAAAATGTTCAAAAAAGCAGCTATTATATAATATCCATTTCTGATGTTGCCAATAATTAGAGATGCACTGAAGGTAACAACTCTTTCAGTAATTTAGTGGGTACAGGATCTAACAGGCATGTTGTTGGTAAGTATCATATCGAAGTTAGAAATTCAAATATTGTGACAAAATTAATTTTGTAGGGTGCCACAAATTTGTTAAAATTTCCAAAGGGTGCCGCGACTAAAGAAAGGTTGGGAAACACTGATTTAAACCGATAGAATAGTATAGAAAACAAACTGAAGCATTTAAACTAAGATCTGTAAGCTGAAGATTTTCAAAAAACGTGAACATGTAATTCTTATATAATTATCTAAACACCCCCTAGTAGTAGAGTTTGCACACTACACCTGTGTGCGATTGTAAATGTCTTGGAGTTTTGTTACCGTACTGTGCTCATCCGCTGTTTCCACCACTTAATCAAGCCACTTTTCTTTAAAACATGATGACATTTTATTTCATATGTCATTGCGTTTGCGTAGGCTCTCGTGTTGAGCTATTTCGTCTGCAACCATTAAAGTATTTGATTTCATCATTCTCTTTCTATGAAACCTGTAAACCACATTCACCGGTTCTAACTCTATAGTGACAACAACTCTATAGCGGTTTGCCCGAGCATTGCAATTATTTCGCATTTACTAGAATTCAGTCAAATGGCTTTCTCAACTCATTTTTGCATCTGTCCTGTGCTCTGCATATTTTTTCTTCTGTGCGGTTGCGACGTAAGAAGTGCGTGGCCACTCACGCGCGCAGCTTAGAGGGAACATTGTTTGTCATTGTGAATCACAGGAGGTAACATGAATTTTATCTCCATTTTTCCAGGACTGATGTAACAACAATAATATGTCTGGAAATCAGGCAGCTCACATCTTCAGCATGTGCATTTTATCTGCGTTTCCAATCTTTGCAGGCATGGATTACAACGGCTGATACTTTCAGTCCCAGAGAGGCTCGTGGCATTATTAATTTCACACGTGGTAATAATAATAGATCAGTTGTTTATTACAGTGGCATCACAGGAAGTGAATGTTACTCATAGACTGAATGAAAGGCGTTTTTTTTCTGTAGCTTGACTCATCGTCATTATTCGCAAGGCAAATAATACTGTAGATAAATCTGAACAGAAGAGAAACAGATTATAATATATCATGTTTGGTTCAATTCTTGACAATTACACAAAATGAAAAGTTTGATTGATTTCTGATTTCACATTTCACATCTGATATCATCAGTACAATGTCTTCATATTATTTTGCCTGGTGGTTCTATATAGTATTTATAACTGCAGTTAGACAAGTAAGGGAGGGATGAAGTCGGTATGTGCAGCTCAGAGCAGTTTGGCTGGATGAATTATTCAGAAGTGGAGGGTAGCAGGTCTGGATGTGTATGTGGGACTGCCTGTCCCCTCTCTGAGGCTGTGTAGTCTCTATTCTGATCGATGCTGTGCACCTGCTGTCAGCTTTCATAAAAGCTCCCCTGGGTGCCTTTCAATTCCTCATGCTCTCAAATGATTTACAGCCATAATCAGACGAAAATTTGGTGTGTGTGCGTGTGTTTTTTTCAGCTACAAACTTAAAAATGCACAGAATGGAAAAACAAATTAATGATTGATTTTTCAATCAATCAATCTTTTTTTTTTTTTTTATTGATTGTATTTGTTTTAAGCACTTTTTTTGGACAGATTTTTTTATTTATTGCTGAATTTTTACATTCATTCCAATGAAAAACTAAATTATGTTGTTTTTTGAGGCAAGAAACCTCAACTTTTAACATTTATACAATAAAAATAATATAGATAATCAATAATATATAATATATCTGATTCATTTTGATGGGTGTTTTTGAGTCTGATTATCCAAGACAGATACACTCACTCTGTTTTCTCAAACTGTCAGCATCGTCCATCCTCTTAGTGAGGCACTGCCTTTGAGGCATTTGTGCATGTTTGAAGTTCACATACTGGCGTGCAAACATGAACTCCATGCACAGGAGCTGAACCCAACCTTTGCAAAGCCACAGAGGATCTTAAACAAAAGAATGAAGAGAGAGAGAGAGAGAAGCAAAATGTCAAAGAAAGAGGTGATCAAAGGGCCATATTTCCCTACTATCATCTGGTGTGTGTGTGTGTGTGTGTGTATGTGTGTGTGTGTGTGTGTGTGTGTGTGTGTGTATGCCATTCTTTGAAAGCACTGGAGAAAGAGACCCATTTATTTTGGCTGAAATTATGGACTGAATTCCGTCTGCTCTTAACAGGATTTGAGAGCCTTGTCCACAGCCACAATGTCTTAAATCACAGTCGTAATGTGTTTTCCTCTCTCTTTTTCGATGTTTCAGGTAGCTGTGAAGAATAACATTGACGTGTTCTACTTCAGCTGCCAATATCCCCTCAGCCTGCTCTTTGTAGAGGACGGAAAGATGGGTGAGTGTGTTTGTGTGCACCTCGGACATAAGCCTTATGTCCATCCTTTAATTGTTTTTATTTTGTTCTTTTGATCTTATTTTTTGTGTGTTCTTAGGTTTTGTATGGGTATTATTTTTTTAGTTTTGACTCTTATGTGCACAAGAGTGTGAGCACACGTACCAGATCTGTGTCCAAATGAGTGTGTAAGAAAGGATGTTGGTGTTTATGTGGAGATGTGTGTGAGTGTGATAGAGACTGCTTATGCATAAACAGCTTTCCCCAAGAGTCTCTTAAATGGAGTTCAGTCTCTGCAGGATATCACACAGATGCACATTAGCTGTGTCGGAAAAAATACTGCCTTTGCAGACAGAATATGCAGGTAGGAAGGCATCAAGGCACTCTCGAATCAGGTTGGGATTAACCATATGGGCATTTGGACACGGCTAAAGTGGGGCAGCATGCAAGGTTGGAAAAATATTAAATCCATATGGGTAGTTTTTTCCTAATTTCTATCAAGAATATATAAGATATATATATAGCTATATAGCTTGGCCATCTCTAAAGCTCACTAGATTTTGTTGTACATCTTTAGACATGACAATATGGTGCATGAAAAACCAGTCTAAAAGTGTCCTTGTTGTGGGGTGCCTTTATACAAAAACATCTGTCTGGCAGCAAGACAACCTTCTGTTTCAGATACAGCCAAACATCAATCTTCTTTTTTGTTTTCTACCTTTTTTCCACTGGTGTCCTCTCTCATGAACTCATTTTGTCCCTCTGCTTCTCAGATCGTCAGGTGTTCCTGGCCACCTGGAAAGACATTCCAAATGACAACGAGGCACAGTTCCAAATCAAAGATATCCACCTCAACTCAGGTAACAGGAATAAATATGTGCTGTGCATGAGTGAATTGGGTAAAGTGTGTGGAGGTAGATGGGAATGAATGAAATGAAGATAATGAAACAAATAAGCAAAGATAGGATGGAGGAAAGTGCTTTACCCTTATCAGTGCTTTGTATAATATTGACTGTCACACACTCAATCTTACAAAAGAACACACTGTCCTGTTGAGGTCTGTCTCTGAAGAGCAGTGCTGATCCGGTGGCATGTCTGGGTGTAATGAACTCGAGGCAGGTTTTTAGGGAATGATCCTCTTCTGCATGACTGTTTGTATAAAATAACAGTGAATCACACAGTCATGAACATGCACACACACTCTTGGTGATATTGCTAATGAATGCACAGTGGGTGTCTTCAGTACTCCTTATTTTGACTCTCCCTCTTCTCTCTATGAGACTTGGTTTTTAATATGTGTTTGCTGCATTGTTATATATACATTTCCTGTTCTAAAGCAAAATATTTAATTGTTAGCAAAGATTTGAGCTTGCAATTAAATGAATATGATGAGAAAGAAAGTCAGAGCAACACAAAATAATATATGTGACCCTGGACCACAAAACCAGTCTCAAGTCGCTGGGGTATATTTGTAGGTAGTTGTAGCTCGGCCAAATATTGTCCTATCCTAACAAACCATATATAAATGCAAAGCGTATTTATTCAGCTTTTAGATGATGTATAAATCTCAATTTAAAACAAACTTTTGAGTGGTAGTCAACTAGTCAAATCTGATTCACAAAATAATGTTGTGAGATGGTTCTTTTCAGTGAATTGGTGAATCAATGTAACGTTTAAATAAGTGGATATCAAATTAACATTTCATTTACTCTTTGAAGTGCAGATCAATGTTTTTGTTCTATGAAAAAAATAGGCAACTTGGACACTTAAGATCTTCCACTTAAAGGGATAGTTCACCCAAAAATGAAAATTTGATGTTTATCTGCTTACCCCC